TGATGTGATGAAACATGCCGATGGCCGCCCCTTTGAACTTGTGGTCGATGTACTCGCCCGGGTTTTTCCTGGCAATGTGGAACAAGGTCTACAAAGAGTACATCATAAATAGTTTTAGGAGGTGGGCTGACAATAAAATAAATGGTCAAACCATTAAAGACGTTGATCGACTCCTCGTTCTTACTCCTTGGCTCTCATTGGACTCGAAGCAGTCCATGTAGTTGGAGCCTCGGATGCTCCAGGCGCTCAGGAACTTCAGCAGGTTGATCTTCACCGGCGTCTCCACAAAGACAAAGTAGTTTTCTGACATGCCGAAGCTGAAATTGACGAGGAGACAACATTAAAAGTTTCGATGGCAACATCGACGACACGTCAAACGGATTTACTGACAAAACCACACACCTGTGCACGTAGGAGGGCTTGAACCTCTCGGCACTGGGGAACTGCACCACCACCTTGGACTTCTCGATGGGATCAGACTTATCTGAGAAAGAAAGCAGAGACTTACTTTTTGTTTTACATTTCTCCATGGATCTTTATGAAGTGACTGATATTCAGAGTGTGTGCAATTTAATGCGCAAACAAAAATCTGGTTTTAGTCAAATTACATGTGGTTCAATCAGGAGACTGTTGGTGAAGGAATGTGTTCTATCGATCGTTCTAGTTTTAAGCTTAATTTACATTAATCTGTATTTGACATTAATACTAATAGAACAGTTGGTATATTCCAATACTGTCTGAAGAATTCAATTACGAAAAGAAGGTGGTTAGTATTCTGGCTTCAACAACGTATTTGAATCTCTTTTTAATTCTTTGCATCCCTGTGACACCCATGCCGACCTTTCTGTGTTGGTGGGGTCTTGACGATGTTGTAGGCCAGTGTTGCTCCTTTCCCCATGCAGTTTCCAATGTTGTACACCGTGCCATCTTTCTCAATGTGAGGGTGGGCCGTCACTCCATTAATGTTGACATAGTTGCACATATCAACCTGCACAGAAAAATAGCAACATTTTTACAGTGCTTTAATATGGATAATATTGATAAATGCCCATCAGATCCTTTTTTACAAGAATTCAGTGATATTTTTGTATTGATGTACCTTCTTCAGCGTCTGCAAGGTGTCCGTGTTTACTTTAGTGATGTAGTTGGTTTCAGTCACAGCATAAAAGTCCTCACCAACAGGGTAGACGTTCACCAGGCAGTTGTCTGTGACCTCAACACCCTTGAAGTAAGAGAAAAACCTGAAAAAGAAAATTTACATTTCACAGAAAGGGTCAAGAGTTTAATGAAAGCTGACACATGGTCTGGAAAAAAGTCTGGATATTTTAGAAGCAGACACATGGTTGTCAATAGTGCAAAGGAGAAAAGAACCCAGAGGGAAATACATGAGTTCTGCATTGACCCACCTGGAGAAAATGTTCTTGCAGGGATCGGGATACGCAAATGTACCAAACTCAGTGATCACCACACGCTTCTCTGTGATGGCTCGCACGTACGCATCTGTTCTGACAAACCTGACACAGAGGAGAGACTGAAAATTTTATATTTTCACTCCAAAAGCACAACATATATGACTTTAGATTTACATTTACTCAAATGGCAGATGCTTTCATCAAAAGTCAAGTCTCCGCAGATTGATTTTGATGCAGCACTGAAACCAACAGTTGCTTTAGAACGCAAAATATCTCCAAAATACTAATGAGATAAACTGGTAAATCTTGACAGTGCAGAGCTATTGTCCTTTAAGTCTTACTTTCGGAAGTAGGTCACTTGTCCGTTCTTGAAGTCGAATTTGTGCATGAGGGCCTGGCCATCAAAGAGGTGATAGAACGGTTCATCTCCAACCTCGAAGAGTCCAGGTCCCAAACGGAGAAGACTTCCCTTCAGATATGAAGGAATCCTGCCTGTAAACAAAAACAGTATAAACAGGAATGAGAGATTATTTTTGGATATAACAGAAAAACTCATACTACAAAAATCCATTCCCTGAACAGTGCAATTTTTATGCAAATGTCAAATATTTGTATTTTCTGTCTAAAAGAAGCAAACAAACCTGTGACAGTTGCTGGAAGAGGCTCAGCCAGCTCCTCACACGTCTCAAAAATCTTCTTGTATCCACCAGCTGGGTGCTCGAATCTGTCGTCAGAAAGTAAAGACGTCAACAAACAACGCAGCCAAGTGAGTTAAACTTGAAGAAAATACCAGCAAGCTACGAGTCTGTTGATTCAAAGCATTATAATCTGGATCAGTTCGCGGTCGCAGAGTTCAGTGTGAACTTTCAAATCCTCCATGAGCTTCATCAGAACCCCTCAGGGTCACAGGGTCAAGTCGCAGAAATTTCTCAACAAACTATCATAGTTCTTTGCTAAATTAGAATTTTCGCAGTTTTGAAATGTGTTGAGCCAAGTTCTTATCTTTTGATGATCAATATGAAACTTTTAAAAAATGACACTAAAATGAAGGTAATCAATGAGAAACTCACCGGCTGACCATGTTTCCCTCCGGCTGTGACAGCACACAAAGCAAAGCTCTTGAGAAAAACCTCTGCTCACTTCTGAACTGGAAAGTCTCTGATCCCCCTCCCGTGGATTGTGGGTATTTATTTGTCTGGTCCCCCTCACAGTCGCTGCAATCTGCGACGTAAAACTTAACTCCCGGCCAATCATGTTGCACCGTGAACAAGAATCCCATTGTGCCAATATCCTTTGCTGGATGACTCAATGGCCCCTGAAACCGGATTTATAGCGAGAACATTTATCACAGCGAACCATGGTTGAGAGAAGGTGTTGCAATGGTGCATGTGATATTTTTCTTTTAAATTGAGACACTTGTTCAGAAGTTGTGCTTTAAGTTATACTTATGCTGAGTCATACTAAGTAGATGTGCAGTATACAGTATATCGGAATGTTGATGTATGTGTAGGGCAATAAATCAGCATGGAGCAAATCCTAAAACTACAGAATTGGACATGAATTAACGTTCAGTATGTATATGTTAGAAGTTATTTTTAACAGGATACAGACTGCATGTGTGTTTTTCTTTTAAATTGTGACAATTGTTCAGAATTGGTGCTTTAAGTTATAGTTATGCTGAGTCATGCTAAGTGCAGAATTTATCAGAATGTTTATGTAGGGCAACAAATCAGCATGAAGCAAATACTAAAAACTACAGAACTGGATGAGAATTAATGTTCAGTATGCATATGTTAGAATTAAAGTTATATTTAACAGGACACAGGCTGCATGTGTGTTCATTTGCTCATATTTAGATTTTTAAAGTTATGAATTTAACAACAGATCCACTGGGATTAATTCAGATTTCAGATTCAGACTTTTTATTCATCCCACAGAGGGGACATTTCCTTATTGCAGTTGCATAAGTACACATATGTAGAAAAAAATGGA